TGGCGCAGTACGACACGCGGCGGTGGCGCGCGCACCTCGTCTTCTCGCGCAACGGGTCGTGCCTGACGACCGACCACCCGTCGGGGTACGGGATCACGGCGCTCGCCCAGGCCGCGTCGCGTACCGGGTGGGCCGGCGTCGTGCGCGACCACGCGCCGCCGCTCGAGGTGGTCGCGGCGACCTCGTCGCTCGGCGCCCTCGACCACGCGTTCCTGCGCCAGTGCCTCGAGCAGGTGCGCGGCGGGGCCAGCCGCAGCTCGCAGGAGGCCGACGAGATCAAGGTGCTGTTCCCGACGGCCGCCACGGTGCTCGGCAGCGTGTACGGGGCACCGGGCGGCGGCAGCCTGTGGCTCCGGCGCGACATGTGGGAGCGGCAGGGGTACCCGCGCGAGGTCTTCTACGCGCTCGAGAGCAAGACGGACGGGTATCTGTCGCACTGCAAGGTACGGGTCGCACGCGGGTGGCTTCTGCGTGTGGTGGACTGGGGCTGACTTGTTGTCGCCGTCACTAGATCCTGTACGCGGTGGTCAAGCAGACGCTGTCGGCGCCCACGATCCCGGACGGCGAGCCGATTGGGCTCTACTACGCCGGGTACGTGCTCCGGATGCGCGCGACACCCCCACTCGAAGCTGACACGCAATCGCGATGGGCAGGTCGCACAACTTCACCAAGGCGGCGTGGGGCTCGTACTGGCGCAACGCGGGCAAGGTGTCCATGAACAACTACGAGCTCGGGGTCGTGTACGCGATCCACGCGCGCAGCGAGCTCGGGACGCGGTTCCCCGTGCCGTTCAAGACGCCGCGCAAGTACGGCGACGGCGACGAGCCATGGGTACGCTTGCTTTCTTCCTCAAGACGCTGAGGCGAAGACTGACAAGAGCGCACCCGTGCGATGGACGGGTAGATCCAGGGCGACTACCCTCAGACTCAGAGCGGCGAGGAAAAGTAGTGTGAAGCGCAATATACGCGCCATGGGCGAGACTTGTATCACAGCAGGAGGAGCTAGGGTGCGGGTGGTGGGCAAAAATGTACAGAGCAGAGGGAACGGATGAAGGATGCGCGGCTCCCAACGGACGGGGAGCCGCCTTGACGCCTTGGCAGTGGCGGCGTAGGGTATGGGCGGTCAGGCCGCAACGGGCGTGGCCGCAGCCGTGGTCGTCGCCGACTTGCGGGCCTCGAGCGTCGCGTAGAGGGCGAGCAGCATGTCGTCGGTGGATCCGGCGGGCGATGGAGACGGTGATGGTGGCGCGGCAGAGAGCAGGCCAGCGTCGGCGGGCGAGGCGGCGGGGTCAAGGGCCAGGTCCTCGTACAGCTCGCGGAGCAGCGTGACGGCCGACTCGACGGCGACGATGCGCGGGAGCGGGAGCGCGCCGAGGAGCGACTGCAGGCGCGGCGAGGTGGTGGCGTGGATCGCGTCGATGAGGGAGAGGAGCATCTTGACTTGGTTGTGGGGCCCTCGATGGGGGCGGGGAGGGCGGGGTACTTGAAGGAATCGTTGCAAGGAGTGCCCCGCGACCGCGGCGAACAACCGAGCAAGTGTGACGTCGGCGCGGGCGGTGCCACCTGCCGCGTAAAGCAGGCCGGGGAGGGCGCACGAGTGGCTTTTCAGGTCATGAGAACGGGGCCGTGGCGGGACGCGTGATGGCCGCGCTTGAAACCGACGAACGCGCCGCGATGCACGCATCAGCTGACATCACACTGCCTCGCAGCAGCGGGTCACGCCGCCGCCCGTCGCACGACGCGACGCGCCGCGTTTCGCCTCCTCGCTCCCTCCCCCGCCCCCGTCGACCCGCAACTGCGCCACCCCGCACCCCATGCAATGCATCTCTGAACTCGCGATTCTGCCGTAACCGCCACCCATCATGCTCCAGTCCGCCGCCGCCATCGGTCGCAAGCACAGCTCGTCCTCGGCCATCCACGAGGCGCTCAACCCGACCCGCGGCATCCGGTATTGCCGCTCTCCGTTCCGCGCATCGTGACTCGTCGCTGACGTGTCGCTCGCCCGCTCCCCTCATCAAGCGATGAGATCACCAAGCGCGGCGGCGTCCCCAAAAACCACGCCAAGGACAACGCGCGCCAGCTCAAAGTCCTGCAGGAGAAGGTTCGCCAGAAGAAGGAGCGGGTACGCTACACTTTCACACTGCGCTGCGCCGACGTCACACACTGACTTATTCCGCGTCTAGGACCAGCACAACGCCGCGCAAAAGAAACGCGTGCCCTCGAGCGACCGCTACAGCCACGTTCCGAGCCGCCTGTACCTGAGCAGCAACTCGCCGCTGCCCCCGACGCCCGAGGGCCCCTCGTCGACATCCAGCTCGCCGCGCAACTCGGCCGAGTCAACGCGCCGCGGACCCACCCCGCCGTCGTCGCGTCGCCCTCCTCCCACTACCTCGTCTTCGTCCTCCCGCCCACAACCCTCGCAACAGCAGCAGCCACCACGCTCGCTCGCGCGCTCCGCCTCGTCCTCGTCGCTGAGCGGGTCCGGCTCGCCTGGAACCGAGCGCAAGACCAAGCCTGGCCAAGTCCCCGCCTAGTACGCTTCTCGACTCAATTCCGGTTCGGAACCAGCTCGCTGACCTTCATCCCGTGTAGCCTCATCCAGCGCAAGGAGGAGTGGGCCCGCGTCGAGGAGGAGAAGCGTCAGCGTCAACATGAGCGCGAGTACGTGTTGCTCACTTGCGGATCGCGTCGCCGATTCCCCTCACTCACCCGTTGCGATGTCGTGTAGCACCTGGCCAGAAGGCACCGTGCCCGTTCCCGAGGAGGAGCGACTCTCGACGCTCCACTACCTGCAGCAGTGTGCGTACCTCGCGTTCCTCTTCGCTCGCACCCATTGTCGCCACTGACACGCTCCGACTTGATGTAGCCCAAAAGGAACTCATGCTCGAGCTCTCACGCTTCCCCATCACCCTCCAACCTAGCAACGTTCAGAAGTACCGCCGCCAGCAGGAGGTCCTCGCCAAGCTGCGCGACGTGGAAAAGGGCATCGAGGTCTACAGCCAGGACCGCGTCTTCATGGCCAAGGTCGACTAGTACCGCCTCGCTCGCGTCGTCTTCATTCACTAGTAAACTGTTCTTCGCACACATCATGACATCTTGTCGCAAAGAACTGAACATGAGGTCGAACATGGTTGAGGTCAACGAACGGGATCAAACGCTTTGAAGAAAGCCGACAAGCTGGACGCGCGCTAGCAGCTTTACGCGACTCTACTCGTTTTCAATGTGAGGTCAGACCGGAGCCGATCAAAGTGGCGATCAGGCAATTTCTGGTTGACGGACGTGCCGCTCATTTCTTTTGAGATAGGAGGTGAGATAGGAGGTGAGATGACCACTGAGCGAGGGTGCCTCACGAGCGTTTTGCGCTGCATCAGGAAACCGGGAGATGACGATCTGGGCAGTTTAGGCTGACGTCGTTACAGCGGACATGACAAAGATTGAGATCGTGCGACGTCGCGCGAGGTCGTTGACCGCAATTTCGACGTCGGCCCACGTCGGCCCACGTCGCCTGACATCGAATCTGCTTAACTATCTAGCCCGATCTCGGGAGCGCAGTGCAGGTACTTCAGGCCATAGGCCAATCGATCGCAAGCAATGGGAACGGATCTCCTTCGGCAAAATAAACTGTTACACGCAGGCCAATATTTAATGTTTAAGGTGGGGAGGGGGTAGGGACATCTCCGAGGCGTGAGGGGCCTTGTCGCGCGACAGAGCAAAACTTGAGACGCGTTGATCAATCATGATCAATCAGGTGATCGCGTAAGACATCTCGAGCCCCGTTGCCGAGCACGGTTGCACAACGCATCTCAGCTCGCCGAACACGGTTGAAAAGAGTATCTCGGCTCGCCGTTTGAAGAAATCTGAGAAGTTACAAGCAGGTGCACAATGAGTGAAGTTGGAGTTGTGGGGCGGGCGACCAGTTGGATGTCTTCCTGCTCGGCTTCGTCGGCCCGCCCCGTGTCCTGTTCCAGGCTCTCGGCATCACCGTCGCCTCGCTCATCGCCGTCATCGGTGCGACCATCTACTTCCCGTACCTGGCCGGTCTCGCTGTTCTCGGCACGCGGCCGATCCACTTCGCCATGGTCGTCGCGTCAGCGGCGCTCCGCTCGCTCGACGTCGCCGAGCAGCTTGCCGTCGACTACCTGCACGCGCGCATCGACTGGTTCCACCCGACCGTCGCCGACGTGGTCCGCCAGCTCCGCGCCGCGCACGCGCACGCGGCCGCCCACCCGGTGCGGTACCGCGACGTGTACCTGTCGCGGCCCGTGAGCGCGATCCTCGACGAGCTCGACGTGCCCAACGTGCTGACCAACGACGAGTGGCCCATCATCGCGTTCGTCGTGCTCCTCGGCTGGGCCACGCTCGCCTCGGTCGCGGCCGCGTACTGGTTCGTGACGCGGCGCCGCTCGGTGCTCGCGCGCGTCGGCTTGCGCGTGATCAAGACCGTCGGGCGCACCATTGCCAAGACGGTCAAGCTCGTCGCGTTCACGCTCATGGAGTGGATGCTGTTCCCAGCGTACACGGGCGTGCTCCTCAACGCCTTCTCGTTCCCGCTGTTCCCGTACTCGCTCGACCAGCGGCTCGCGTTTGCCGCGCGGCAGCCGTTTGCGGCCTACTTTCTGCACTGGTTCATCGGCACCCTCAGCATGTTCCACCTCGCCAACCTGGTCGGCGCCGCGCGCGAGGTGCTGCGGCCAGGCGTCATGTGGTTCATCCGCGACCCGTCGGACCCCGAGTTCTCGCCGTACCGCGAAATCGCGGAAAAGTCGCCGCTCATCATCCTGCGCAAGTTCGCCATCTCGCTCGTCCTGTACGCCATCGTGGTCGGCGGGATCGTCGGGACCGCGACGGTCGGGCTCGTCGCGCTCGGCGTGACCCCGCTGCGCACGCCCAACGTCGCCCTCACGGACGTGCCCCTCGACCTCGTGATCCTCGGGGAGGAGGAGGGTGGGGCGCTGTTTTAGGTGAACAGGAACCTCATCTGCGCAAACTCACAAAAATATCGCTAGGGTGGCCGAGCGGTCTAAGGCGTTGGTCTCAAGTTCCAATCTCTTCGGAGGCATGGGTTCGAACCCCATCCCTAGTACTTTTGGCGTCCCCGAGGTGTGGGGGATGTTTAACGAGACTTCCGAGGTCGCATCGCACGCGGACCTTGAACGCTGGTTCGCGTCACCCTCACCAAGCCAATTTGTTTGCTAACAAGCTTGACGCCCGCTTACGAACCTAATCCACTACTTTCGTGAGCAAAACTTGTTTTTAAACCAAGGATCCGTGGTTGTGGAGCGGAAAATGCGTCAGCCGCGCGATAGCTCAACTCCACCCCACCCCGTCAGCCAACGCTCGTTTTGAGCGGTGCAGCCATCATCTATGATCTTAACTAGCGCGCGCACCATGTACAGGTCAGTTTGAGGTGGTACCAACACTAAGTTGGGGAGGTGATCCCCGAGGTGATGGGAAACCTAAGTAGCGTTGGCGGTCGGTACCGCGCTCACAGCGTTGAAAGCTAGCGATGCCGCTCGAAGCGGTGCATTTAACGCGAGAAGGTGTGTTGAGGATACGTGTCGAAGCATCGGTCATCACGTTGCTTGCCACTCGGTCTCGTTCAATAGCCGTGCGAGACCGAAGCCCTGTCGCGCGAGAAGCGAAGCAAAACGCACATAGAGTAGCAACGTGTGCTGCGAAGCAGCGAGCGGCTCAGAGAGAAAGGTGTCCTCAGCCATGTTCGGACTTAGCATGAAATATTTTGGTTGTTCTCCTCATCGCCATATCATGGTCGGTCAAGAAAGTAGCAAAACAAGTGTGGACGCGCGCTGAGCGCTCCTCGAGTCGGCCAGTGTGAATACAACCAGCACGGGAAAGTGATAAGCTATGGTGAGAAAGAAGGTGATCTTCATCCTCGAGAAGGGCGAGCGAGCGGACGGCGGGGATGAATAGCAGATCTGAGGACCCGCTTCTCGATGTGAGAGAAACGGGGGGTCGACGGTGGCGACGGAGCAGGATCGGTCCGCACTGGGACCGTGTCGAGGGAAACGAGAGGGGAGGTAGGTGTGCGAGCAGGCTATGGAGGCAAGCGAGAGAACAGTTAGCAACTGGTTCGAGAGCGATGTCGTTGCAGCGCCGCGAGCCACCGTGTTCGTCTTCTCAGAATCGGAAAATGATGCGATATCGACATTGTTTCTCTTTCCGCCTGGGGCGGCATGTTTTTTCTTCCCTGAAGGCGACATGTGGGGGCGGCAGGCTGGCTGGTCGGGGTCCGGGGGAGACGTACAAGTTGGGGGATGGAGGGTGTGTGACGGAAGCGGTGGAGCTGCATGGCGCTGTTGCTGCATGGTCGGTGCATTCAGGCCGGCAGACACCGTTTACCTCGCTTTTGGGGCGCAGGGAAGGCGCGAGCGGGGAGCGAGCCAGCTGTTGATTCGCACCACGTGGGCCAGGGTGACCGGTTGGGAGGCGCTTTTTGAACTCGATTGTGTTGTGGCACCTGAACGCTCGCCGGACGCGAGCGCCCTTGGCTAGCATTTGACGACGGAGCACACCCTTGATGAACGCTTAACTCGACGCAACGTAATCAACGGCGACACGCGCATCGCCCCGATCCTCCAACGCCTACCAACAACCGTCGCCACCACCGCTCCCCGCCGCCATGTTCTCGCTCACCCGCGCCTTTGGCCGCCTGGGCCTCACCTCGACCGCTGCCGCCTCTGCCCCGGCTGCCGTCCCCTCGTCGCTCGTGGTGGCCCCGCAGGCCGCTTCCGCGCACCAGCGCCGCTTTGCTGGTGAGATTGTGAACCCGCGCAAGGTCCGGTTCCGCAAGGCGCACAAGGGCCGCATCCCGCTGCCGATCGGCGGGTCCAAGGCCGGTACCACGCTGCAGCACGGCGAGTACGGTCTCGCTATGCGCGAGGGCGCGCGTATCTCGGCGGCGCAGCTCGAGGCGGCGCGCCGCGTCATCCGCCGCAAGATCCGTCCCGTCAAGGGGTGCGAGATGTGGCTGCGCGTGTTCCCCGACATCCCCGTCACGTCCAAGGGTAACGAGACGCGTATGGGTAAGGGTAAGGGTACCCTCGAGTTCTACGCGTGCCGCGTGCCCATGGGCCGCATCGTGTTCGAGATTGGCGGCGGCGCCCTGCACTGGGAGGTGGCCAAGGACGCTCTCCGCCAGGCCGGCCTCCGGTTGCCCGCAGCGTTCGAGATCGTCACGCGCGCGCGCCAGGACAAGGAGCGCAAGGAGGAGGCCGAGGCTGCCGCCGCTGCCCTCGCCGCCGCTGCTGCTGCTGCGCCAGCGCCCAAGGCCAAGGAGGTGACCGTGTAAGGTCGCTCTGATCTGTACCCTAGTTCCCGACCCGTTTCCTCGTTTATCTCTCTCTGTTCCCCACCGCCCGTCTATAACAACTGCTTGGTATTCGACTCTGCTCGTCCCGCCCGGTTACGGACACTGCGAGAGAAGCACCTCCTTGCTCAGTTGTACGGTGAAGACAGTCGCCAGCTTGCCTGCACGGCGCAAGGACCTGCCATGGGCGCGAGCGACGCGAACCTCATGCCTCGGGAAGAACGTCGCGCATTCAGCGCGACTTCGAGGCTCGAAAGCAGACACGCGGCGGATACTCCCTCGTCACGCCGCAGAGAAGCTGACACGCTGTCAGTCGGTCGCGACGGCGGTGGCCAAGGCGGCGACCGCTGCGCATCCTGCGCCCGCAGCGACGGCCGCGGCAGCGAGCGTCGCCTGGAGCACGCCGGTTGATCTCATCGCGTTCAAATGAGCAATAACAGCGCGCTGATCCGCTTGAGAGCGTTCTTGCTGCTGAGCCGGCATCATGACGCATGCACGAGCGCGCAGCTGGTGCTCGGAGCCGTCGAGCCGGCGCCTCAAGTCGGACGCGTCACAGTGCAACGTGCGTCTTTCGCGTTACACGATGAGAAACGATGCATCGGGTCCCTGACCTCGGGAGACCGAAAGAAGGCCGTTCGACTCACGAGAGAAGAGGAGCAGCTGGTCGCCGGCGACGCGGTGCGCGCGGCCCTGTGGCGACTTCATCAATGCAAGCCCGACACGTGAGTGGCTGAGGCTTGCAGGAACCGTGCATGCACGCGCGCCCGCGACCGCCGCACTCCCGCCCGCCGCCGTCCTGCACTTACCGCCGTGCACCGCCTCGCCCAATCATGTCGCCGGTGCTGGCGTCCCCTCTCGCGTGCTCGCGACTTCGCTTCTCCCGAGGGTTCTAGCCGACGACCGCTGTCCGCCGCGGTGTTCGCTGTTCCCGACTTGGACATCGAGCTCATCTCTCGGCTTGTGATTCCCCCTGCTTGCCGCCCGCCCTCCAGCCGCAAGCTCGCTCTCTCTCCTGAGGCTAAGCCTCGCTAATCCCTGCTCAACGCTTCCTTGTGCAAGTGACGCTGGACCGTCCACAACGACTGCGACGGCCTCGACGACGGCGACCTCGCCCGCTCCTCCATCGCCGTCCTCGCCGCCTTCTCGTCTCCTCCGTCTGTGGCGCCGCTGGGTCGGATGCCTCCAACCGCTGGATCGGCCCCACCTCCCCTCGCACTCGTCCAACTCGGCCGACCGCCTCACCATCATCCGCCGCGGGCCGGCGCCACCACCCTCGCGCTCCCGCTCGCGCCGACCCGCCACCGCCCCTTCCTGCCCCCGCCGTCGCCGCCATGGCGCCGTACATTGGCGCCGCGCTGGTGCACCTCGTGCTAGCCGGCTCGGCGGGCGCATTCGGCTTTTTCCTCTTCGAGGACAAGGCGACCCGCGCCATGTTCCTCGCGGGCGCCGGCGCTGTTCTCGGTGTGCTCGCGCTCGTCCTGACCTTTGTGCGTCGGCGACAGTGCTCGCTCGCCTCGCGCATCTACACGTCGTACCGCGCGAGCCCCGTCGTCACCGGGCTGATCCGGTTCCTCATCCTCCTCCTGCTCGTGTACGCGGCCGCGTCCGTGTACCTCACCCTCGCCTTCTTCAACCTGGTCCCCGTCCCGGGCCCGCTCGCCGACAAGCCGCTGCAGCTCTTTGGCGAGTCTGCATTCCCCAAGCAGCAGCTCGAGGCCGCGGGCGCCGCTGTCGGCTCCGGCATGGTCCCGACCTCCTCGACGCCGACCCCGTCGGCCGGCAACCGTGTCGGTTCCACGACCGCCACGGCCACGCGCGGCGCTGTGCTACCGACGGGCACCTCGCGCGTCTCGTCGCCGCGCCTGTCTGCGGCCCCGCCGATTATCGCTCAGTCGCTCTTGGCCGCCGCCGACCTCGCGCCATCCTCATCAACTTCCCCATCATCACCACCGACTGCCACCGCGGGTGCTGCCGCGCGCCAGAACCGCACAGCCACCACCAACGGCGCCGCTCCAAACCGGCCGCAGCAGCAGCAACAGAAACAGAAACAGCAGCAGCTCGGCACCATGTCCGCGACGCCCACGGGCCCCGCGAACCCGCTCCTCCTGCTCAAGCTCCTCGCCATCTCGCAGGGCGCCATGGGCCTGCTCGCGCTCGCCGCGCTCGTCGCGCTGCCCAAGCCGCTCGACCGCGTCGGCTTCGAGCCGAGCGACTCGACGCGCGCCACGCAGCCGGCGGCGCCGGCCATGGGCATCGCGCCGACCAAGGCCGACTTTGGCCCCAGCGACGCGTACGGCGGCGGCGTGCAGCTGATCGCCGTCGCCGACTCGAAGCCCGAGGGCGCCGCCACTGGCAAGCAGGACGACTTTGTCGACTTTGCTCCGCCAGCTTTGCGGTTCGACCGCGAGACGGTCCCGTCGTTCGGCACCCCGTCGGGCGTCCCGGGCGGCGCGAGCTACATGGCATCCGGCAACGGTGGACCCGGGCTCGCCAACCCGGCCGCGTACGGGTACGGCAGCCCCGCCTTTGGCCGCCCGCAGCAACCCGCGCCCGGCCCTCCGTCGTCCTCGCGGTTCGTCAACGCGTCACCTCGGCTCGCGCCCGCGTCGGCCGCCTACCGCGGCGGCGCACCACCACCACCTCCTTCGCAGCCCGCGTCGCAGCGACTCGCGCCGCTCTCCCCGGCGTCTTCGAGCGACTACGACCCGTACAACCAGCACAGCCGGTCAACGCCGACGCACTCGTCGGGCTCGGGC